CTAAAATCGTAAAAATTCTAACACCGTCTTTACTTTTTCAGGGTCAGTTTTGTACTACAAAAATTTGTTTTCGCTCGTGTGCTTGTTGTGCTGTTCTTCGTCTTGCTCTGTCTTCGTCTTTTGAGTTTGTGTTTATTAACCGTTTTTCATTTATTGATTTATTTTTTCTTTTATTTCTTTTTTCTTTTTGTTTATTCCCTTGCTTAAAAATTGAATAGGTTTTTCTTATAAGTGTGTATTCTCACGATTATATGTTTTTAATGTATGGTGCAGCGAAGTGGGTAGCGCCGTCGAAAGGCGAACAAAATTGATTGAAGGTATAGAAGCGAATATTATAAAAAACGGCTATATTGTTGACAAGAGTGAAGTAAAATAAATATATATAAAAAATATTAGCCTGATCTGACCATAAAAAGTGATTTTAGGACTGCACTGATCCAATCGTTCCTATGGAAGCTATAGGATATAGTGGTACGATCCGGTCAATTTTTTTATATTGTATTTATAATATTTTTATAGATTTTTGTGAAAGTTTCATAGCGATAGCACAACTAGAAGTATTTATGGCCGCGGTTCCATACAAGCCCGACCACTGTGCGTTGGCACTGCCAACATCCTAATTACCCGGCATAAAAACGTTTGCTGGCCCAGTGCGTGTGTCTTTGATTAGCGCTGGGTAATGAGTTTTTAGATTGTCCTAGAGAAGTTGTCTGGATCGTATTTCCTCAGTAGAATGTGACCACTTCTGTATAGGAAGTGAGTAGGCTAATCATGATTATCTTTATTTTGCTCTATATCTTGATTTTGCACGGTTCCTTTTGTGGCTCGTTTAAGTGGGTAAAAACTGTTGATATTTATGTGGGAGCCTTTTATACCTCTTTAATATTAAGGTAAAAGAGTAACTTTAAGAGCTCAGAAAATCTATTTGTGATTTCTATCTACAGTTCTATCATTTTTGTTGTCTGTTGTTTGTGATAACAATAAACCCGCCATAAAAAGGAAATACCACAGCGGCATTGAAAAGCTTACATACAAAGCGGCTCATAAAGAGCAAAACCGAGACCAAAACGTGGCATGCAATAAAACGCAATTTAAGAACCTTTTAACAAGCCGATAGACGGGCAAGGGTGGAGCAAATGTAATGCGAGTTGCAGCCGATTCGGGCATTTATGCCTCGCATTTGGTAATCAATGCTCCCAATACCCCTAAAATCCATTCAGGCATCGCAGAACACGAAATGAAATGAAAATCCTGTTGGCTAACAAAAAAGGGTCCCATGGCTTAGAAGGGAACAGAGCTTACTCGAATAAAAGGATGGGCCAGACTTGGCTGCAAAAGTGAACAATAAAATAAAGTAAAGTTGATTAAATCCCCGGCGACAAAGTTTATTAGCGAAAATGCTGGCAACGTATTTTGGTGAGCCGATTTAGAATATGCACAAACGTACCTACATACATATATACTTTTTTTTAAAGTAAATATGTATTGCAAAGTAGATAGAGGCTTATCCGTCGTCTTTTGCCAAACATTTGCCAGACAATGCCAGCTAAACAGAGGGTGAGTACGCTTTTTAAGAATATTAAAAAGTAAACTACACTACTCATTGTTTAAAAGTAAGTGACAGGTTGTTAATAATATGTTTACTAATATAATATAATAATAATATAATATTAAAAATTCATTATTATTATATAACTTTTTCTAAAAATGGTCACACAATTTTTTGTATTGTTTATCAATTTTTTTTTTTTTTTGTGAATAAGAATTTTTTTTTATTTTCGCTTGTAAATTTTTGTTTTATAACCCACACTTATTTAAAAAATATTAATTTTTTTTAATGGCAACATTTGTGTATATTTCTTTTAAAATAAGTTGTATAATTTTATCACAGTTTTCGTGCTGGCTAGTGTAATCAGGAGCGAAATGTATAGCAGCATTGCACAAATATCGCTCCACTTCGTGCCAACATCCGTCCCGAGCCACTCAGCTCGCAGTTCGCGTACTCCTGTCTAAAAACACAACGGATATGAATATACCCTAAAGCTATCAGACGGCGTAAATGAGCGTGTATTGAAGATAAAAATGGCTGCAAAGCGAATAAGAACGCTGGCAGAGGGAAGTGCTGGGATATGGAGAATGGCAGCGCTCAAACTGCACCAAAGCACAAAAACAAACAAAACATGGCTAAATAGCAGGATGGCCATGGAAACAGGGGAAAGCTAACCCATCTCGGCGGCTCCCTGCCACCACTTCGCATTCAGCTCAAACTCCAGAAATGTCTGCTCTGTCTCTGATACGGGCAAATCTGTTTGGCAAAAAAAATGGGGAAAAATTAAAAAAAAAAATTGCAAGTGCACAATACCCCAGCAACAGGAAAGTTTTTCAAGCGCACTGTTCGGAGCTCTTTAGTTCGTGGAGGATTGCAATCCGCTTCCGAAAAGCCCGATATTTCCGTAAAACAAGAAAATCAGATGAAAATGCGTAGAGAACAAGGCAAATTAAAGCGGTAAAGCGATTATTGTTTAGCTCCAAAGGATCAAGACAAAGCCTTAGTCGTTACATGCACATATTGAAATCCCTCAAATGGGAATTTTTAAACGCAAAACTTCGTGACTTCACCAAAATATATTAAACTTTTCTGTACTTGTATTGCCAATAAATATTTTTGATACAGTGTATAAACATAATGTTATGAAGTAACCTTTCCACATGTCTTGAAACTTTTTTACTCACTTTCAGTGAGAGCAGCGAAGCGCAAACTAATCAGTTCGTCACCAATCTTTTTACGTATTCGTTTGCATATTTTTCATTCATGTAACCCTTTCATCTTTGCAGATAATTTTTTTCTTCTTACTGTCTCTTCGCTTTTTGCTTCCAATATTTTCTTTACATCCGGTGGTGCAATCAACTCTTTATACTTCCCTTATTTTCCTTCCAGTAAAAAACTGCATAACTCCAGGTCCACTTCGCGTTCAGGGAAAGATACATAGCTATGCAGAATAAAAAACAAAAAAAAAAACAAAAAACAAAAAGCAGAAGCTGTTGCACACACTCGCTTGAACATTGTGTCGATTGCGTGGGCGTTACCGGGGGGGAAATGCTATTAACTGGTCATACCCCACGGAATAGCAACGTTTTTTCCGCTTTTTTATGACCCCGCGCTTCAAGGCACATGGATATACTCTAGCTATTCCATTCCCATTTCGATTTTTTTGCCACGTCTAGGAGGCCGCCACATAATCGTATCAGCCGAAGATTTGTAATATGAAGCGGAAGAAATAGAAGATAGTTTGTTGGCCGCAGACTGTTTTTTACGTTGAGTATCCTTTTCACGAGTTTCGTGATAAATGTACACTCATAGTTAGCCTGAAGGCATGTTTCTGCTAATTAAATTTTAAAAATATTTTGATACAAATGCAATTTTAGTTGTTTTTATAACCAGTTAAAAATTATCTTGTACCATTTCTGAGCATTTCTTAACCATTTACAAAGACCAAAATCCATTTTAATCTTCTTTTTGTGATTTAAATACAATTTGTGTTTCATATAACATTATAAAATATAATTATTAGAAATTCTATTAGACAAATTGATTAACATTTTATAAAGTGAGCCACCGTCATAATAAAGAATTCTAAATAAACCCACCAACGACGAAGTTAAAGCACTTAGCGCGCAAAAAAAAAAAGGAGGACCGTCGGAGAAAAGTTTGCTGATTTAACCAATTTTAAAACACACACAAAGTCAGACGGGCAAACAGACAGACAGCGTGGAGGCAGACACAAAAAGCCATTCCAATGACCGCAACAGAAAAAACAACACCCAAACTGATGGGAAAAACTGGAGTGGGTGGGTAAAAAAAGGTGTGCGCGGCAGCATCTGCAGCTGTAAACCGGCGACCACAGCTCCCTTGGCCAAGTAAAAACTCATCAAACTATATTTTCAATAAATAATGACAATCGACGGGGCGAGGGCGCTACAAAATGGCGGCCATTTTCCAGCGACCAACCACCCAAAAGGGACGCAGCTTCATTGATTTTATGCCATTTGGGCAGGAACCACAACCGCTACAAGCATAAAATTGAATCATAAAAAATCGAATGCTCACATATATATATAAATTTAATACATGTGGGCCACGCCTTGTCGTGCCGCCCAAACATTTGCATGGGCGGGAAAAACAAAACGGAATAAAAAGCACTACTTTTACAGTTCTTCCTATTTCAATTTTTTTTTTTTTGTTTGGCCCGTCAGTCAACTGACAAGTCAACAGCGATGCAACCTGCAAGCCAAGGGCTGAAAAAATAGTCACAAAGGTGGAGAAATGGTGGAGAAACGTGGCCGAGATGAGGAAAAGCCCGTGGGGTTCGAGTGGCTTCGCGAACAAGAGTGGGACGGCCTAAACGAATTCTAGAGCCACTCGACGTCGGGCATTTTTCCAACTACTCTTTTTTTCGACTTCCTTTGTCGGCACATATTATAAATTGCACTACGGGGAGCCGTGCCGAAGTGCCGGCGTGTGAATGGGCCAAATGCGCGGGCCTCTAAAAACTGCACAAATGTGAAAAGATTGAGGCTATGTTCTGTCCACTGGAGGCGAAATACGCGAGAAGTGCTCGCTACTTTTCGCTTTTCAGACTCAACGTTTAGCAGTCTCGATGAAAAATGGACGAAAGGTTTAAATTTGTTTTTGAATCGGAACTTAAAACCACAAAAAATAATTAATGACAAATAACCAATCAGAAAATCAATAAATTAATAGTAAACGAAGTTAACAGTAACCACAATCGCAATGCCGGGTTTTCGGAAAAAAAATAAATAAATTGAGAAATTAACTTCATGTACATTTGTTTTCGCTTTTAATGGTTTGTTAAATGTTTAACGTATCTGAGTTTCGTTTCCACTCATATTTAAAAAATAAATCTTGCTTAAACTGTACCGTTTAGACTTTTTGTCTTTTTAATTTACACCATCAAGCTTTAAAATATTCAAACGCTTACCTCTTTTAACTCCAGAAATATCTTTTGCGTAACCTGAAAGTAAAAAAGTGTTCAGCTTTAGTTAAATTCTAACGTTTTTTTTTTTTTTGCAGTTTTCTTGGTATTTTTTAATATTTTTTTCAAATGTTCAAGGACCAAAATATGCAAGAAACACAAAACAAAGGCAGAAGAGCGCTAAAAAGACCCCACTCATTCCGTTTTTTTCTTTTCTGAAAAGGGGGTAAGTTGCAGTGGAAAACACGCAAAAGTATTCAAATTAAAATCCACTCGAGTAAGCAGAGTGCAGGTTTTCGGCGAAGGGCAAAAGTAAAATGGGGATGGCAAAATGTTTCCTTCCTGACAGGCCAAAAAGCAAAAAGAAATGGCGCTGTGGGCTCGGCTTTTTTTTAGAAGTCATGTTTATAAAAATTTTATGTCGTTCAACCATAAATCATATACAATAATTTTTTATAAATTTTTTCGTTACCCATCTTTATGAAAATATTTTCATACTCATTTAAATTTTTCGTTGGCAACTTTATGCATTTTTACGCATAAATAATTTTAGGGCACAAATGTTGCGTGCAAAACATTATTTTCATTTGTGCTACACGCACCATAAATGTTGGTATTGTTTATTTTACTATTAGCTGGCACGTACAATTAACTCTAAAGAAAATTAGAAATTATTCTCACAGTCACATAATAAATTTTTATTATAATTAATAAGCATTTTGTTTGATGACATTTGTCGAACTTTTTAAACACGACAAATCAAGTTCTTAGGCTTTTGATATTTAATGTAGATGTTGTGATATGAAAATTTCAATTAAAATTAAATTAAACTATCCTCCCAACATTTTGTTAAGTCCCCTTTTGATCTTTACTTACACATACATGAAGGACATTATGTATATAGACAAAGAAAGCGCCAGAGGGTACAAAATAGTTATGTAGTTACAAAGAGGCATTTCACATTTTAATTCATTAGATTTTTATACCGTAAGCTTTGAGAAGTCAAACAAACGCGATTTCTTTGTCTCTATTCAGAAAATTTTTTTAAGCCCAAGGCATGTTACCCACAATATCCTGCCCATAGATGTTGAAAAAAATTTAATTTAACTTAATGTTAAACTAAATTTACTGTGCCTATTCGGTATATTTAACATTTTCAAACACAACTTGATTAACGATTTTGGGTTATATTTAATTGACACACTTCAACTTCAACTGAATTGCATCAGATGTCAATTTTGGGGTTAATTTGAAGGGTGGTTTTCTTGGTGGTGAGCCGCAAACCAGACAACGTTTTCATAAAGGGTTGCAGTTTACCGTTAAGTCATAATCGGTTAATATACCCACAAAACCGTTAAGATAAATTTACTGTATTTCAGTTATACAAACACTCGAAATCAATTACTCAGAGGTTGTACTTAAGTCACATATTTATTTTTTTGGTTTTTTATTGTTAATCAAAGCAAAAGTCATTACAAGAAAAAAAAAAATGCATTAATTAAACAATATTGCGAAATGATGACTTCAAACTAATTTTTTTCATATCCACTACGTTAAGCAATTTGCATGTGTAACGGTCTCATTACGATCATAACAATGCCAAAAATGATTATGAAACTCTACGCACTCTTGCAGGAAACGCCACTCAGATTGTTACACTTTCGCTTCTTTTCATTTCGGTTTCTACGTGCCCCCAGCACCCATGACAACCCAATTCATGGTATATAAATCACATTTAAATGTACTGAAGCATAGCTAGTACAGCTGCCTATAGCATTGCCCATTCATTGACTTAATAGCTTTTGGTCCGTTTTAGTAAACTTTTTGAAAGCATAAATATTACGTATGTAAAATGGTTTCCGTAGCGGGGCAACATTTTGTTGTGCAAATTTCCAATGTATCTTTAATTTGATTTGGTCCAATTTATTTTGTTCGAGAAATTCTAAACCGATATTCCTGACAAATGACCAAACTATTGAAATAATTTAGTTTCGTGTATCTATTAATCTGGCTGTTTGACACAATCAATGCCAAAGAACATTAAACAGATTAAACTGTCGACAGAAAAGATTTAGTGAAGCGTAGATTTGCCATTTAAGAATATTTACATTTGACAATAAATATCTTGTTTTTTCCATAAAACTCTGATATCGCAACTGCAATTTTTTTCTTACTTTTATCAGCATAAAATGTTTGTGCTTTGGTCTGCTTGATTTTAAGTGTTTTGAAATACGAACGTATATTGGAAAACACATGGCTCTAAATTCTGGTGAGCGACCTAAATGCCTTGGTCCCGGGGGTCACACATGTTCCAAATTCTTCAAAAGTCGTAACCATTTCCTAGCCCTATTGTTTCCGGAACCCTATGCTTGACATTACTGTCTTCTTATTTTGATAGTGTTCAAGGTTACCTTATTTTTTTTTAAATATATTAAAGAAAGTGTATAACAATTGTCGTACTGTAGTTTACAGTTTGAGCTAGCATTTTATACATATTTTAATGTCATTTCTGATTGCGGAGAAATGCTTCAATTGGCAGACCTATTTTTCAACAAAATAAAATGCTTTTTGATTTTTCTTTGGAAAACGTTTGATATGTGTTTGCTGCATATCGATACAGATGTATTGGACAAAGAGGGGGAAAAAAAATATAAAAATTGTTGTATTGGAATGCCCAAAAATTGCTACGATTATTTGCTTTTGAATTTGCATGTACAGAAATATTTATGCACATTGCATTGTGGCTGTAAAATAAATATTAAAACCATTTAGTGAATTAAAAACAATATTTCATGATAATAAGCACTTTTTACAGTCTACTAACACGACAATTTATTTAAACATTTTTACCATAACAAAACATATAAATATAAAATAATAATAAAAGGCAATGGCACTTTTATACTGAAATTTACGATATTCTCACTTTTTGCTCTATCAGAATGGATAGGTCTCATCAATGGGAAAACTTTCCATATCCATATACATTCCTCTGCATATCTGAGTCCCGGAATGGCAAATGAAATATTTAACCGCACACAACCAAACAACTCTTTGGCCAAAAGTTTGCCTTTATTGGCAGCAATCTGCGTGCGCGGTGTGTCTGGGATATGTGTATGTGCCCCACAGGCAGGGAAAACAGATAGGCAGAGATTCCAGACACAGACAGACCGAACATAATGAGCGGCATTAAAACTAATGAAAATCAACTTTGGCACACCGACGAAAAACGCCGGGAAAGCGGACTAAAAGGGCGCATCCGAGAGGGGATGATAATACCCCCCACAAGAGCGCGCAGCATAAAAATGTCGACTTCTGTGGCAGAGTTGAGACACAATAAAAATAAAAGCAAACGCCGCCCCATCATCGACCTCCCCACAACCCGTTTACCGCCCAACTTTAGACGTCGTAACCCCGAGCAACAATAAGAAAATTGCGAGACAGACAAAGTGGAAAAACGCATAAAGATGAAGACGCAACAATAAGAAAAATTCAAGGCACAAATCTCTCAAAAGTCCGATTTCTTCTTAGAGGATAAAAATGTGGAAAAAAATATTAAATTATTGATTAACAAGAAAAATATGTAAGCGAAAAAGAATTTATATTTTCTTATCTGAGATTTAAGCATAAACTTAAAAGAAAATCTATTAAATGTAATGCAAAAATAATGTACCTACCCACTTTACAAATACACAATTTAAACAAAATGAAAACTTTTTATGCTGCCCAACATTTGCTAAACATCCTAGCCGTTACTTGCAGGTTTTCATATTTAATTTATTAAAATGTGGGGGAAAGAAGGAGGTAAATTGTAGGCAAAACACACCTTTTATATTCGCTGGAAAAATGTATGAGCAGCGAAAGGACGAAACTTTATATGTGTGTGAAGATGTTCGCTTGTATGTATGCACATAATTTTTCTGCCCAAGTCAAATGAATGTGAATCTGCACTTGAATGCGAATGCGAAAAGCGAATGCCAACACGAAAATGTGCTTTGACTTGGTCTTGTTCTCTTAGTTTTCTCCTTTATCTGCGCTTCCCCGTTTCAGTTTTTTTTTTGTTTGTTTTCCCATTCGTTTTGTTGGTGTATAGTATCTTGTATCTGTAGCTGCGTCTGTGCATAATGTATCTCCGTCTTGGCGAATCGTTTGCCTCTGTTTGTTTATGCTTCGCAACTTGACTCATGGAAAAAATGGGAAAGAGGAATGAAAAGAAAAGAAAAGTTTTTATGCCTTTGTCTGATGCTCGTCTGTTTGTTTATGTATCTCCTCGTATCTCTGTGGCTTACCGCGTAACTTTAATAATTTAATTAAATTTTACCAACATCCCCCGTCTGCTGGTGTCATGCGAGAAGTCCCGCTTTGATTGTTATTTAGGCCATTTGGCATAATGAGGCAGCATAATTCTCACATAAAATCCAATTTAAGCGCATTTTTAGTGGCTAACTCTGGGCTTCCTGATTGAATTAAAGGCTTCACAAGCACACATTAATCAGAACGCCGAAGGAAGTAGCAGCTTAAATGCAGAATATTTAAGATAAAAAGAGCTCATAGATTGATGCTGAATATATAAAACAATAAAACCCTGATAAACAATGAATCCAACTTTTACCAAAAATTTAAAAAAAGATATAAAGTATTTAAATCAAGCAAATAAAATACATCCTGTAAAGGTTAAAGGGCGGAAAAAAGTATGAGAAATATTGCTCGGATTACGAGAATGAATGAAATGCGTACGCAATAACCTTTAAGTCGGTTACGAAAATGGGCGAATGGGAAATTACAAACGCGAGCTTCACCTGCCAGGATAACGACGTTTACGCGATTCAACCTTCGCTTTCACCCTCCGCAAAAGCCATTTACATTTCTCTGCATGAGCATCGCCCTAGAAGGCAATTTACATCAAGTCACGCCCTTTCATTAAAGCTACTCATCAATTTGAAGTGCCATGCGCTTCACTCGTTCAACAAGCTTTAGGGATTTATTCACCGCATGTACATTCGCATATAAATACATGTGAGTATATTTTTTTTATTATTATATATATTTTTGGTTGCTACTCGGCAAACAATAAATGTCAGTCGCATGCCTGGCGACTGGTGATAGTAACACATTTCGCAATGAGTGATACATTCGTACTTGGCAGATATGACAGCAAACACAGGAATGGCCCGTCTATCATCTGTGTGCGATTTTCCAAATAAACCATACACGAGAAGATACTGTTTTTAGGTCACATCCAGTGTATTATGAAACAGCACGAATCTCTCTATCCGCGGTCACGTTGTCATCTCTAGCTCGGCTGGTGGCTTCATTATTTGTTTGTTTACTATGTTGCACTTGGCACGTACGGGAAATAAAGCAAAGGAAAATTGCATAAATGCCCAGGCAAAGTGTCCATTGTTCTGGGCCCTATCATCCTAACATCCTACCATCCCCCGAAACCCCTGACCACAGCACATGTGATTTATGACAGCTTTTTGCTGGGCTGAAATTATATTCGAACGAACTTTTGGTCAACAGCTTATCAATAATAATAAAAACCAGAAAAATCCAGATGTGACTCTAGAAATTAATTTCACTTGTGAAAAGAACATTGAATCTTAACAATCAGAACAAAAACTTTTTTTATTTTCTGCTAAGCTCCATCCGAAATTGAATTTAAAACAAAACCAACAAGAGACAGATAAAGTTACGTAAAAAAGTAGCCGTAATCTCTGACTGTAACCGAGCTACAGATACGGGTGTGTGGTGATTAAGTATCTTTATCTTAATTCCCAGCTGTATCTTGTTTCTGTATCTTAGAACTGTTGCTCTTCAGAGCACTCAATCATATATGTTTAATTTCATTCGCTTCCGGTGCGTTTTTGTGGGAGAGAAACTTTTGTCTGATAGCTTTTGCATATTTATTTTGTTAATTTTTAATATATGTATGTATACATGGTGGTCCCCAGACAAATAGTGCCGAGACATTGACCTTTTTTCGCTGAGACTAAGCGCAATTTTTTCATTTCTTTGCTTCTCTATTCAGCTCCGATTCTTGGTTCTTGTGTCTGCTCTCTTTCTTTGTTGTCAGATTAGCCGGCCAAGTGGATAAACCAGTTTTCGTTTCTGCCACTCTGCCATCTTCTTCGCCCGATTCTTGGCCTTCTCCGTGAGCCCGTGTTCATGTTGCTTGACTTTGGCTAATTAGCCAAGAGTGGATGTTGTTGTTCTGGCTGTGGTTGTGAGCCCTGCCCCGCCTCGAATTTCGTAATGTTGAACTTAGGAAAATCTTGCAAAGCAAACAAATTAGCCAAAGTGGCGAAAAAGATTACGTGGATTCAATTTTTTCAATTTTTGATATTTGTCTCAGAAAACTATTAAATTTGTTGTATGTATTTTATTTTTCGTGAATTTTTTCTTAGAATTTTTTCTTATAAGCTTAAAACCCTATTAATTATTACCCTATTCATAAAATAGTTTTGTAATTTCCCTTGGTTAAACCTTAGTTGACTATTTCACAATAAAAATGGATGAGTCCCCAGAGGCTAACTCGTTTTTTTATGACTCACCTTATGCTTTCTACCTTTTTCGCTCTTTCTACCTCAACTCTACAATGGATTTGCTTTGTTGAAATAAATAAGTGGAATCTAAATCTGATACGTACATGCAAATGAGAAGCTAACTGAACCTCAAAAGCGTATATAATGCTATTGGAGCCGTGTAAATTGAAAACCTTGGCACCTGCAGGTAAAAGTAAAAGGCAACAAGACTGACTGAAAAAACAAACCCCTTGGATCATCTGAAAAATATTCTGTCGATTCATTTTGAGTCACAAAAGCGAAATGAAATTAATTATCACCAGCAACCCCATTTGTTTAATAACAAAATACACCCAAAGAAGAATACCGGGGGAGAAAGCCACGACACAATTAACCAAATTGTCTACTAAAATTATAAGAGAACCTTCGTCGCGCCACCCTTAAAATAATAACCCCCCAAAAATCCTTCTCTCGTCAATTATCCTCGCAAAGTACGTAATTATTTTTGTTGCTCGAAGGGTTCTGGGTGAAAATGTTAACTTTGTTTCCGGCTGATTGAGCATTTATTTCAATGTTATTGTCTATGGGTCATTTGCACCACCCTAGGTTGTATTTCATTTTAAGCTCTGATTATTGTGGTTTCTTTTGTTTCTTGGGAGTCAAGTGCACAATAAAAGGTTTTTCTACTTATTTTTTAACAGAATTACAAATACTAAACCTCGCTTCCTTTTACACAGCTTGAAGGGTATTAATTATTGTTATTGATAATGCCTTAAGAAAATTGATTGAAGGACTAAGAGGTTTGAGTGTTTGTTATGCCAAACTATCTGTTATTTTCAGAAAACTTTTATGTTAAAAAAAACTATGTTTGTAAATCACGGAATTTCTTGATTGAGTGCTTTGAAACTCACCATTTACGATGATGATGAAAATGATCGATACGAATACAATGTTGAAAACACATTTTGATGACATTATATGCGATGGGGATCCAACGTGGATGGTGTCGACTAAACAGAATTAGCACAAATTTCTGTTTTGATTAGTTTTTTCGAAGGTTGTTGTTTTGATTTAATAATTTCCTTTTGGCAGTAGTTGGTTGTGTTTTGGGCACCTCGCGCTCCACTCTTCGCGGCTTTTTAATCAGAGCTTTGCACTTTCCATGCCATTTACGAATTTAGCACTTTTCGCATGGGCCATAAAACTTCGCAGCACTTTTTAGCACGCACGAATTATTTTCGCAATTTTTTTTTTCTTGCACTTTTTCAAGCTCTTGTCACGTACACTTTTTCTTTTATTTTTATTCCAATATTTTTGTGTTAATAAATTAAAAACAAAAATAAAAACAAATTTTTTAGTTGATAGTCCGTGTTTATTCACTGGATTGTTTTTAACTAAAAGAAAACAAGTGGATGTTTTTATATGCACTTATACTCTTGTAATTTTTGTCTTAATAATTTTTTTTTTTAATTTAAAACAGCAGCATTTTTCTCAAATGTTTGTCTTTATTAAATTGAAATTAAAAAAATACCCATGTTTATTCAATGAAAAGCATTTGTTTTGTTTTCATTTGCTTTTCAATTTATATTTGAATCAGGACTGTATTTATTTTTAATATTTTATTGAAATTGGTTCGTGGCGAAAAACCAAAACAAAATTGAAAGCAAGACACAAAAATACAAACAAACAGAAAATCACAACACAGAACCGATATTTTCTTCCCGCTCGCACTTGGCCAAATTCAATGAGCAAGCGCAGAGAGCAGAGCGAGAGAGCTAGTGCAAAGAAGGCAACAGAGAGCCAGAAAGAGAGGTGGCAGCTACGGCGCAAACGCAACGAAATGCATTAAATTAATTATTGTTGCTTTTCTTGTTTTTGTTGCAACAACAAAAAAAGATATCTCACAAACAAACATAAATATGTTTGAAATAAAAAATCAAACTAATATTGTTATTTACTTTAGAACAAACAATTAAATATTTTACTGTTTTGTTAAGCTAATTTAACAATGTTTTTTGAATGTTTACTTTTTATGTGTTCTTTATGCTCTCTCTTTGTGTTATGTTCTCTGATTGCCTCTCCTGTTCTGTCACTGTCTCGCTCTCTCCCTCATCCGCTTTGTGTTGCCCGTAAATTAAATGCGTTGAAATGCAGCCATTTTGTCTCCGCAATTGGCACTCACTTGAACTCCCGTCGAATTTTCTGTTTAGCCACAACTCTCAATTGGCCAAAAACGGGGGCAATTTATTTGATAAAGCGCACATTTCCCAAGCCGCACTTGGCGATTTATTTATTTATATTTCGCTCACCCGCTCGCACACCCACACACACACGCACGCACACTAACGCAGTGAACACGCGTCCAGCGATTTTTCCGACTTTTCCGTAACAGTGAAGTACGCGTCCAACTCGCTCGAATTTTCGTAAATTTCTGCCAGAGAGACCAGACCTGTGTTCAGAAAAAAAAATGACGACATATTTTTTAATAGGACCGTTTTCGTCCGCTGGAGGCGCTTTCAACGTTAAACTGACTTAGCGAATCCACTCTCCTAACCGAGTACAGCCTACTACTACGCTAACAGATTCACCCTCTTAATCAGCAAGGAAATTACCCTACTTTAGCAAGTACACAAACCACACTTATTTAGCGATGCGGTCACACCTCTTTTTCTCTCTCCTGCTCAAAGTTTCTCTCCCCTCTATTACATACACTGCTAAAAATGTAGTTATTCGTTAGGAAATGTATTTTTGCCTCAGATTGAAGCTGTAGTTCAATGACCTACCTTATACGTGAAACAAGTGACTCTGAGATCAAGTCTTAAATGGTCAGGTTGCTTTTGCAAAAACTATTGTCAATGGACGAAGCTTTAGTGTTATTATTCGTTATTTATTAGATTCCAGTAAGCAAATTCAAATCAGGTGGGTAAGTCATCCCTGGTCAACTTATCGATTATAATCGGTTTTCTGATGTTAGCTTTTCATATGTCACCTGCGTTGCCAGACTCACGGATTTAAGTAGGTGTTGAATAGAGATATGTTTTGAAACTAAAACAATAAACGGAAATTCTTGCTTTATATTAAACTTTATGGCCCCGCAAAGCTTTTCTACCAATTTAAAAATGATTATATTGTGTCTATACAACTTGCAACACCTTTTTAAAAGTGCGCGCCCACCCTTCCCAATTTGGTCGGTCCAACTGGATTTTTTAGTCCCAAGGCTCGCTGGGGGAGTTCAACTAGTGTTACCTGGCAACACTGCGCCTTCGTTTGTTTTTGCGGGTGGACGTGCTCGTGCTCGCTCCTCGTCGTTACCGTTAACTCCGTTCCCCGTCCGTGTGTGGGTGTACGTGCGAAAGTGGAGCTGTGTGTGTGGCTTTGGTCGCGTGTCGTCGCCGCTTTCATGTAAACGAAGATTGTGCAAAGGTAAACGCCAAACGGTGGCAACAACAGTGAATGATAAACAGAAGCGCAACAACAACAACAACCACGACAAAAAAGCGAGCAAACAAAAGTTGTGAAATAGTTGTTTTTTTTTGGCCTGGTCTGGTGGCAAGTGGCAGAGGCGATAAAAAAACAATTCTCAACAAAAAACAGGTTTACTGAGTGAGCGAGAGAGGAGCGGGCTTACTGCAAATGCGAATTTAGAATCTCAACGGCTGCCGCACAGTGGTCACTTTGAAACATGCCCCACTGTGCGCCCAGAACTTGTTTCCCCTTCTCTGCGCCACCCCTCCCCCTTCTCCTTAGTCCATCCTTTCATTAGCTGCTTTAGAATGCATATTTTGTTTATGGGGATCTCACATGCAGCGCCCCGAAATCAATAGGAAAAACGGTTTTCCCCGAAAGACCCGTTACTTTTCGGGAAAAACCCCGTTCCGTTCCCTGCCACAAATCAGCTGGCTCTGCAGTCAACGCAGCTCTGCCGACGTCGGCAGAGGAGGGGCCACAGAGGCAGCGTCGGTGCCTAGCAACAGCGGGTAACCTACGACTCCAGGGGCGGTTCACGCTTGGGCGCCCTTAAAATCTTTTAAAGTAAAGTTTTATTCAAATTGTGACGTATTTGGGAAACCAAAGATTTGTCACCCTAAAAAGTTGCGCTGTCAAAATAGATGGTTATTTTCGATTTTGAACTCCTTGCCAAAATTTAACATGAAAACTTAAAAATATAATTCTCCCTTTAGTACAATATCATCTGAATCTTCTTTCATAAATCCTTTCAGAGTTATTGTTATTTTTTAAAGGGTGAAAAAGATTGGCCTTACCATAAACCTTGCTAAAAGATTTACAAAAGTTCCATTAAATTTTCCTTGGATCTCCCGAATCTATTTAAGTCCGGTCCTTTATTTGCCGCCGTCAGCTGTGCGGCGAGTGCGCAGGCGCCAAAGAAGGCAGCGGACCAGCCTGCCAAGTTAACTGCCTGACTTTGGCCCGCAAAATTGCATTGCTGGCATCTCGCTCGCACGCACTTACTTCGGCAGTAATGCCGGAAAATGGGGGGAAATGGGAAAACGCCAGCTATGTGGGCCTCGTGCGCCGTTCGCAGTCGGCAGTGGGCTTTACATAAGTTGACGTACGTGGCAGGCGGCCCGCTCCTGGAATTCAGTGCCCGGCTGCAGGTCCTTTGCTCAGGTTGTGTGGACGCGCTTTCAGTTTTTCCGGGCATCAGCTGCTGGCGCTTTGCAACTGGTTCGGATTTTCCTTTTTCCTCCTTTGATTTTCAAAGTTTTCCTAATTTCATTTTTTTTTTTATTGTATTGGTTCTGGGCTGCAAACCGGCTGGATGGCCAAAAGGTTCGTCGACAGTTTTGTGTTTTTTCAGCTGTTCGGCTTGTGGGGGAAAAAAAGTGGTTAGACCTCTTTTTTATTACACTTTAATTTGGATTTTTTGCCATTATTTATCTCATTTCTCAACTATTGCTATTTGCCGCCTGCGTGGGCCACTTTCAAAAGCTTTTTCGGGGCTTCCGTCGATTAATTTTGGAGTTCGTTTTTTTTTTCGTCTCGATTTTGTATCGTTAATTTTTATTTATTCATTTCGTTTTCGCCGAATCATAAAGCCAAAAAACTTGATTTGTGCGCACGGCCAGCAGTAAATCAATTTAACAATATCAATTCGCTCGTAAAACCGTTTGAAAAAACACGTCTAAACGAATTTATCCATATATAAAACCATGCAGCCGAAGTGTTAATCGAGGAACTACAACAAAGTCAGAGAAAACAACATGTGAGGCGGCTTAAAAAGTTAGCTCTGCCACTCGAAAAGATGGCCGCCAGGATGTGCAGCGTCGTTTCCATCGTCGTCATCTAGTTGCAGCAGCAGCAGCAGCAGCACTCACAGATACACACGCACACCAATGCCGCTGGCAGCCAGACATTCGCACACCAATACCAATGCCAGCCACTCTTAAAGGTGAGTCGCACTTAAAGTTTTACATTTTAAATACTCTGCAGTCGTAAAATTGGGTGAACCGAGAGTCCCTCGAATTTCAGCTGCCTGGTGCCGAGTGCTAAAAGTTTGCAATATTAATGTGCCTTGCTTGGACCTCTCTGGGTCCTGAAAGTTAATCCTGTTATTGAAGTTGCCGAGGTTATTTAATTACAATTAATTAAAACGAGAAATTGGGGTAAAACTTTTCAAAAAAATCACGTTGCGGTGCCCGTTTTTTTATTTAATGAAATTTCAGCTTGACTTATTTTCAACAGAAATCAGAAATTAACAAAATAAAGAGTTTTATGTTTTTATAAGTGTTCTTATAATTATTAAAACGTTCATAAAAATATAAGCTGTAAGTACGTCATCGAAAGTAATGGTTTTGTGCTTATCTCTTGTAAAAAACAAACATTTCTGCAAGGTCATTAAACACCAAGATAAAAGACAGGTATTGTCTGGGGAAATTATTTAAATTTCGCGTTAATATAAGAGTATTAGTCAAACTGGGCGATAAGATTGCATATCACATTAATGAATAGGTAAAACCTTTTAATATTATTAAAAAAAACCCATAATTTTTGGGATTTAAGGGTTTCCTCGTAACTTATTTAAAATACATAAAATCTTAAGTAGAAACGTGTTACTTGTTCGCCAACAATCCGAATATGATCCGTTCTTTGGCCTTCTTGCTCCTTTTTAAGATAATCTTCAATAAATATATGTGCGGGCAAATGTATTTGGAAACCTTCGTCTATCAAGCCTTGTGAAATGTCCAATCAAGACGAGAATCGCATGATGAATGACCTCAGCATTCCCATCAATCTTACACAATTGTCCCCCCTCGTCTGTCACTGAATTTTTGCTTGAATTTCTTTTGATATTTGGCGACTATCTGTTGTCTTTCGTGTGTTGATTTTTTGTTTAGCTTGCGTGCTTAGAGCATCTCAAAGTCTAACATTTCTCTTTCGGTTGAAGTTGGCGAACAAAAAAAAATCCCCAAGCGCGAATTTTTTATAACCGCTTGGAATCGGAATTGGAATCGGATTTGAACCCGGGACGAAGCTGGGATCTGGCCAGAGGAGAGTTCAAACCGAGTAGAGGGCTGTCTTTTCTTTTTTTTTTTCTTTTTTATTACTATTATTTTTGTTCCTTTTTTGTTTTTGGTTTTGGTTTTGGTCGCGAGCCCATTGAAAAAAGCTCGTCAAACCAGTCGCCGTTTGTATTTTGTTTTTTGCTCTCCGCTGGCTGTGTTTCCTAGGCCTGGGCAAACTGGCCCCCGTTGATGACTTTTTACATAGACGTTGGCCCGAAGAGATACCGACTGAGATACGAGAGCCACAGCCAGAGCCAAAGCCAGAGCCATAGCCAGAGACAGACTCAACTAACAGACAAAACACACGTATCTAAACTTGTTTGAAACGTGTTACATTTTAAGAACGTTCGCCGCAAGCGGCAAGTGGCAATAATCCTTTCAAACTTGACAGTGCTGCCATGTTTGAAAACGCGAAGGGCCCTTCTGCCCCAGTGGGAGTGGCATGGATTCTCGCTTTTTCCTCCTTTTTTTTTGTGTTTTTGTTTTTTTCATTTTTTAAGCCTAGCATGTGTGTATCGATGTAGGTATATCTATGTATCCGGATCTCTATATGCTGGCTGTCAGTCTTTTTGGCTCTGCAGACATTTTGGCTGCCTTTGTTGTTATCATAATGCTGTTTTTTTTCGGCGCTGCACACACGGGTGTTCTCCTTTTACCCAAAATCCCACACAAAACGGTCATAAAGAACGGGCTGGTGAAGAGAGAAAAAAGTGAAATTGATATTTTCGCACAAATTGCCGTTAACAAGGTTTCTTGGTAATAGGGGTTTGGGGGGAGGGGAGGGGTTAGGGAAATGTGCTGGAACCTAGGCAACGAAAAATTTGCTTGTCAAAATTTGGTTGAAAATATGCAGCAAAAATGAAATGGTAGAAAAAAAGAAGAAGAAGAAGAGAAAAACCGTTAGAGGTGCAAACGGGAAATTGTTTACCGTGGTTCCAAAATGATGTAATTTCGCGTGTTCGTGCAATTCAATTTCCTGGCAGCGGAAGCCCGTGTCGCTCTTTTCGCCCATTGAAGTCAAACATTCATTCCCGACCCCCATCAGCCTCCCTTAACATATCGCAACTCCACCCACCCACAACACACACACACACCAAGTTTAAAATATTGTCCAAAATTGTTTGGCAATTCCCGTCGCTTTTTTTTCCTCTCTCCCAAACTTTAATTGTCCCCCAACCAAACTTCGTTGAGGGTACAGTGTCAGAAAAATAGAGGGGGTTGTCCCTATTTATGTGCATATGTATTTTCGACTACAACAACATGTATTATGTAAAATTCAATTTAGCTGAATTTGCTATCTTAAAAGCTCATCCGTTCTGGACAGTCTCACCCTCCTAAGAGTCAATAAAATTTAGCGTATATCTTTTGCAAAAGAGAGAGTATATTAAGCACTGGCTGGTTTAATAAACTATAAATTAAACTGAAATTTCGATTATGTAAATTTCAAAATTAAGGGAAAAGTTTACATAACTTATCTTAGCCAATACCTTTTTTAATTAAATAAAAAACTGAGCGCCACTTCTTTACTTCATTTTGTGTAAAAGTTTATCGCGATATACATTTTTGTTTCAAACACTTTAGGCCTTATAAAGTTTTATTGGATTGAATAAACAAGAAAGCACTAAGAAAATCTCCAAAAAGTGTATTTAAAGTTCGTGAAATCTTTGGGATCTAGGATTTTCGAAAAATATTTGCCATATTTCGCATAAATAAATTATGTATATTGAAAAGACGTCCCTCGGTCAGTGCGTGCCTCTCTAGCCGGCTGGCTTTCGTTTTGGCCGTGCCCGGCGAGCATTGCCCATATTAACAATAATTCCTTTCGACCCGGGCATCTTGCCAAAAAGTTGGGCGACCGCCTGCTCCTGGCACAGCAGGCGACGAACGTTTTGTGGCCAATTTCCCGTACCCAAAGGCCGACTTTTTGTGTGACCCATTGTCAAGTCAAGTCAAGCCGGACAAGGCCTACACTCTGCACACCCTGCCCCATTCTCCCATCTCCCATTTCCCTGCCCCGCATATGACGTCTTGTCTGTAGAGCTGTATTCAAAAAGTTTGCGGGTAAAAGCAGCAGTACTAACTCGATGGATGGCGGCGCAGGGTGAGCGAACTGCAAACTTTGGAGTCCATGACAACCAGTATGACTGCTGGAAGACCATTGATTGAACCTGGTCATGCGGTTGGTTTGGTTTTTTAAACTTGCACAATCTGACCTTGTTCGAGGGGGCTAAAAATATCGAGGAAGTTTATTGGAAATGTTTTGAAAAGTTTTTACGGGCTTATAATTGTATCCACTACAGTTAGGAAAATATGTCTACCACATAACGATATGTTTATGAAAATTTGTTTGAATGTATAGTTATTAGAATTAATAAAAAATTCAAAAATATTTTTAAACAATCCTCAAGCTTTGCTACTCATCCAAAAATATAAGAGTACATTCAAGTGTGCTGTACAATTCTAACTTTTAGATGAGAGGTTATACAATTAATCAACTTCAACCGCCCGCACCAAAATGAAACACAAACTTATTTATATTATTGGAGTCTCTGTTGGTTGCTGTTGTAGATGTAGTAGTACCCCCCGTTGAACTTCAGAGTGGCGAGTTCATAGTGCGCGGTACCGCTCACTGGATTGGCGGCCACTCGCACTGGCGTCGATGTGAAGCTGAGCGTTCGATAGAAAAAGGCGGTCAGAAAGCTGGCACTTATCACAAAGGCCACAAAGAATCCCAGACAGAAGACACAATCCTTGTTCACCTGCAGGCAGAGACAAAAGGCGCCAATAAAGTCGCCAATCGAGCGACCAATTCGAGCGCACAATGTTTGCCGAACTTGGGGCGGACTGGGCGGCATATTGTTGCCCCTTATGGTGATCGTGTGGTGGGCACGTTCGCAGGGCGGACGATTTGGATCCGGTCTCAAGGTGCTCACATCCAAACGCAATCGACGGGGCGGTGTTAAAACCTCAGCTGTCTGGGTTGCAAGCTCACAGAATTGCGGCACTTGTACAACAATTGCTGGTTGGGTTTTCTCCCGCTCCGCAATTGCATCCAGATTCCGGGAGAAGGAACAAAGAAATTCCAGAACATTGTGCATTCTGCTGCTTGAAAGCTCCAACATTGATTGGATTTTCTCCGGTGAAGAAGATTTCTGTCTGGTTTCTGCAGACTGAGAACTTGTGCAGGGTTTTTCATCCTCATCGAAATCCTTTTCCTTTTCCATTTCCGTTTGGGAAGAACCTGAAAGATACACCTTTTGATTTGAATGCAGAGGATCGTCGGTTTCGGAGGTGCCCAAATTTGCATCTGGCAGATACAAAACTTGTGGAACTTCAACGGCGGGTGGCATATTTATGATCACTTGCTCCTGAGAGTCCGACGATGATAGGCTTCTATCGACATTGTTTCTATCTTTTCGCTTATCCATTTATTTGATGTGCTTAAAAACTGGGAATTTTTTGTTGTGGCTATTCCGAATTTGAAAGCTGAATTTACTTTCGGCGGGATAGTTGTCAATATGATGTTGTTTTGCCGAAATTATGTTGGCTTCAGTTGCCTGTAAAAGACTTTTCGAAATTTTTCCAAATTTAATCTGTGGGCGCTATAAATTTCATGGCGTGCAGGGAGCCACCACAAACTGCGATCGTCATTAACTTGTTGATTGGCGATTTGGTTCAGGATGCCGTTAATGAGCCGCTCAAACTTTCCGAGCAGAAGAACACCTGCCAGCGGCTCTTCGACATTTTGGGCTTTCAGGCCGATGAATGTTTCGAGGACATAGACGCTAGTAACGTGGCTATAACACCCAGTTCGAGCACCCTTCAGAGCAGTGTCAAACCGCTTTCAGATGAACCCAATCGTAGGAACTGGTATGGTTGGATGGCCAAGGAATTGTCAGAAGGTAAGATATAGGTTGATGAGTAGCAGTATCAACTGGTCCCAAAAGTTTGTCAAAATATCGGTATTGTTTCAGATAGAATGCAAGCTTTAAATCTAGATCTATTGATCACCTAAATTGGCAAACTAGATTGAACTATTGTTCCTCATACCGAAGAACTTTTACTAAAATGTGGATTTAATCTACTCCATATTTTTATTCAGTTTTCAGAAGACATACTTCCTCATGTAATTAGTCAAACATAAAGTTTTCGTATTTAGATTTGTTTTGAGATGTAAGTAAATTTAAAAGAAAAACATTCCAATTATATTTGTTTTTTTTTTTTATTATAAAGTCTTCACCAATAGCAAAATGGAATTATTTATGTAGCTTTTTATATAGTTGTAAGCAAATATAATATATCAGAATGGTAAAAAGGCAATTTAAATTGAAAATGTTCTGATATATCTATGAACCCGCAGACAACTCCGAGGACGAAGTTGACATCTTCAGGAAAGATGTGCAGGGCGTGACTAGAAAGTTTGACTCGATCGGAGTGCAGACGGAGCAGCCCCGCAGGCGCAGATCCTCGAATCCTGCGGACCGTGCCCCCACTCTCGCTCCATGCGAACTGACGCGCCACACGATTTTCATCGATGCCGTGTCCGTGCCAATACCAAATGTCTTGGGTAGGCCGCCGCTGGCCGACCGCTTTTGCTATATGTTGACCGATTTCGCATCGGCGCTATATTGTAGTCTCGCCATCATGTGTTGTTGCACACCCAATATGCTGAGGTAAATAAAAACGAGAGCGGTTGGGCTTCTGTTTTGCGAAATCGGTAAAGGGTTTCCATTAATTTAACTAAGAGCGAAACGAAACCTTGTCTTTTTTTTTATTGCAATTTGGGCTGAGCTCCGCGCACCATGTTGCGTTTCAAATCGATCTGCTGACTGACATTCGTTTGCAGGAAGCTGTAATAGTGGCTCAACAACAGGTAAAGGCACCAGAGGCACAGTACAATGAACAGGGCAAAGGTGATATTCTCGCCGATCATATAGGCACAGGCGACAATTGTGTCGCCCGCTTGCACCAGGACATTCCACATCCTTTGGGGCAGCGGCGGCCTCTGCATATCCGTGGCCGATGTCACCGATTCCACCTCGATGTGGATCGTGTGCTGCTGTATCTTGCTGGGCTTCATCGCCTCCGGCTCCACATTTCTCCCCACGGCCGCCAGCTTCGCCTCCAAATCCTTGGCAACGGCCTGCTTTTGATCCACCGCACTCCAAGAAGTCTGAATGCTCACCTCGCAGGTGGGCTTGATCGTGGAATCCGATATCTGCGTGAGACTCGATGCTCGATGCTCTGCATTTTCATCTTCTGCGAGGAGATAATTACTCATAAATACTTTGTATCGCATTAAATGCTCTAAGCTTAGGTTTTAAAATGCGACAATGACAAAACTTAAACTTTAACTGGCTTTAAGTTTATATTTTAAGCGGAGATCTTTGCGGCATTTACAATAGAAAAGGATATCCGCATTTGTGAGTCGAAACATTTTGTTTAAGGGGTATTTTATAAACTGTATGTTAGTAAATGCTATACCTTACCTTCCTTCAGGATAAGCTGCTCCGACTGGACTCTTTTCAGTCGGAACGGAGCACCGACATGATGCTCACGCTCAATTTCCAGGATTTTGGTGTAGTCCTCAAACATGTTAAGTAGCTCCGCGAATCGTTTGGTGATCTGCCTGTGACTCAAGTGGATCTCGGTCAGATAGCTGGGTACTTCATTATCCCTATTTGGGATATTCCAGCCCACCGATGGCGCTCTTGATTTATCCGGAAAACTATTTTCCGCCTTTGCAATCACGGTAGAAGTTGAGGTATCATCTCGAGAAGATTTACTCTTTGAGCGCTGCATGGGAAAGGTCTTCTTCGCGGTCTTAGCCGTTTTGATTTAGTGTGTTTTTTGGGTGTAAATCATGAGTGTGTGAGTATAAAGTGAATTAAATTTGCTTTCTACCATTCGTGTCATACCGAAATTCTCTGTCTGAATTTGTGGCAAAGGGTTGCTATAACTGCTTCCAAAAAACGACCATGGCAAACGGGCCTCGGGTTGGCCAGTGGATAATTTTTGCGCTAAATTAAGCAATTTCCTGTCCTGTCTGGCCGGCAGGTTCAAAACCTTCTGTCCATCGACACTTCAGGGTCGGCACTCGTCTATGAGTTCTCCTGTCTAATATGACAATTATGACGGTCTACTGCACAAATGTTATTTTGCATAAGTGCATTTTAAGAACCAAATCAAACAAGAGGGGGTGCCTCTCGAAATGAGTTCTCACTCACCTGCTTTCGGTTGCTCATTGCATAAAAGCTGAAAAAGTATAGGAAAAACAATCAGAAGTGTCATCTTGACAGGGTATTTGCTGCAAATTAAAAAATTAATAAAGAAATTAAATTAAAACGGCAAACATTTTATTAAAATTTGAAGTAAGTTTCAATCAATTTATCCCGAAAATCGCAATCCAATATCTCGCCTTTATTGCACCAGCACAATAAATTAATGAAACTGAAAACTTTCGTTCCTTGCCACCCATAAACTGTCATTTTATTATCTGATTTTTTTTTTTTTTTTGATATTCGCTTTAGAACCCAATTCATCCCCCAGATTTAAACCACAATTTCCGTTTGATGGCAAAAAGCTGTCTCCGTATATTTCATAATTTGTGCGAGGGAAACTTTTCGATGAAACTCTATTAAAGCGGGGACATAATAAATTCATGGAATATCTCGAGTTCGCTGTGAAGCTGCATGGCTATACGAGTACGAGTATATGGGCATGTGGACAGTACGCACATTTTCAGTGGGCTAAAAAAAAAAAGGAAAAAAAAAGAAAATAAAAAGGGAGGAAAACTATGGGGAATGGGTGGGAACTTTTCCCGATGCTCTCTGTCGTTGTAAGTCCTCTGGTGTCCAGTGTGCACCTGCTACTCAGTGGTCGTGTTCTTTTGTGGAATGGCTGGTGGCCATTGTTATCATTTAAAAGGCTTAAGTGCGCCGAAGATTTATATTTATATATACTACATATATATATATATATTTGAAAGTGGAAGGAGCGACAACAAGCAAAGGGAATCTCAGTTCGTGCGACAAGAAAATAAGATAAACGTACACTTTATTGATTTTCCACTCGCATGTGTTTGCCTTTGGATGCTGTTGCCATGGACTGCATTTCAGCATTTCAGCATTTCAGCTTCTCCTACTGCTTTTGCTCTTTGTGCCGCAGTTTTGTCGCCTGTCCAAAAAAGCAACAAAAAAAAAAAAATAAATGGGGAGTTGTGGGTGTGTGTAGGCCATTATGGGGTGCGGGTGTATAGAGTGGGCTTAACTGGGCAGCCAACGCCTGCGCTTGATTCATCTGCCAGTTGATTGGTGTTTGTGCGAAAGTGTTGAAGCAGAACAACTGGGATTGAGTGGCCGCCATCCTTTATCCTCCGGTTCACCCTTGGCTGTCTGTTAAGCTTTATTTGTGCTGTGCTGCCTACTTTGAGGCTGCAACCGAGGGGCGCACAAATCGATCGTGCTGTTGCTTCCATAAATTGGATTTGCACAAAGCCCATTTTGCAAATGCATTTCATTGAAATCCCCGCGATTTCGAAAAGTTTACTTTTATCTTTACGCACAGAAAATTTGTAAATAAAATACTTCATTTTGAAACCAAACAATAAAATCTTCGTGGAAAAAAACAATTTGCTGTCCTGTATTTTAAAATAGAGTAAATAAATACATATATTAAATACGCTTCAGGTATTTATATTTAAATGTTGACATTATAATACAAAACGTATGTTAAACGCCACTCACATAATTGTTGTTTTCATTTAAAGCCATCGTTAATTAAAATCTCACCCTTTGTCCCGCTGTCATCGTATTCGTTTTTTGGCAACCATCCTGATTACGCTGTCCAAAATTTTGTCGGCCACTTTCTTGGATTTATGAGGTGTTGCTGATTATTCTCGGTGCCGCAAGATAAATATATATGTACCATATATATCTAGGTCTATAGACCAAATGGTGCAACTAGGCAAATATAGTAGGCGTCTAACCGTTGCCAAAAGTTCCAGTCTGCGTTTTTGGGCCCGGCCAGCTCGTAAATAATATTTGTTTAGAGATATTTTTGCTTTAATGCTTGTTTGTTTCCTATTACTCTCGGCCGGCTCGTTTATCATCTTGGTCATAGCCGGCAATTTCGGTGGCTGCAGGAGCAAAAGGACTTGCGAGTGGCGCAGCATGCATTCAATTAGCGCCTGGCAAGGATTGGATTTTCATCGTTCCACATTATCAAGAGGGTCATAATTTCTCAACTCGTTTCGAGATTGCGAGATAGTTAAGCTGCGATTTACGGATGTGGTTAGATTTCTTTTCTACAATTGAAGATAATTTGTTTTTAAAGCGCTAAAATCTTTTGTTATTACATTTTAAAGAAGGTTATCCTGAACATATAATTTTTTTTTATTTAAAACATAAACCAACCAATATTAAAAACTTTATTTAATGAGAATAAATTGACCCACAAACATATCCATTTTACTTAACACCTATTTTAAACCCTATAGACTTATAAAAATGACTTTTTAAATAAATAAAGCCGGTAGTTATTTGAACTTATTGCTCTCCTCGTCTTCAACGAACACTGTGGTGTTGTTGAAGGTCCAGTCCATTTTGTTATACAAACAAAATAGAAGCTGATGTCACACTCACTTACACCTGCCAGAGTCTTCAAAGCGTTGTCAAAGCGCTTGCCACTCTTGTCTATGGCAAGAGGTAAGTGAAATTTCCGGGTGAATCCCCAGCCAGTCAGGGATCCCCTTCGGTTCCCCGCCCCTGTGGCAATCAGTAGCCGGCTATTTTCTCACCTGGCCACTTGGCGCTTAGACATGGCCTGCTGCTGGTTAGTTGGCATTTAATGGCATTTGACACTCTTCACGGTGTCTGCAAACAAAAACATCAGGAGCAAATACAAAACGGAAAAAAATAAAATGGGTAAGAAGGTTCTATTGTCGAGCAATCCGACCGTGAAATACCTGGCACTTGGTTCGTTAAAGGAAAGCCAACTTCGCACACAAACAAAATTTCAGTTTGGTCGAAAAAAGCCGATGGAAAATGTTTTTCATCATCTCAGTAATTTGTATTCACCCGAAATTAAAGAAGTGAAAATCTTTAATTTTAAAATTTATTCTAAAACCAATAAAATTCTTATAAGTGAAGTACATACTTCTGGCATACAAAAAAAGTACAATTATTACAATCACGGTTTTAAAAATAAATTGATTGACTCATCATTGTCCTTCTCGTATGCAATATACCCGTGAAAAAACCACGTAAAAAATAGGATAAAATAGAGTAAAATGTAATGGAAATATTGCTAAGAAAATCAATAGAAAACGGCAAAGGAGACAGAAGGACAGGCACCAGGCTGCATGGAGCCGGTCGAGCACTTGCCTAATGAAGTTGTTCCTTAAATCGGGCCAGGCATCGAAGGGACACGAAGCCGGCGTAGAAAAAAATAAGAAAAATAAGAAATAAGCGAGAGCTGAAGCTCCAGAAAACAGCAATAACAACATCAATGCACTTAATGCTCTTGTTTGCTTAACTTTATTTGATGTCCTGGCCTTGCTTATTTTGTCCACACTCTGCGTCTCGAATGTATGAGAAAAAGCCACGCAATTTGCCATCGTTTTTGTCTTCTGTCCATATGTACAAATTCAGGAAATGTAATTTCTAGTCAGTGGCAGGGAATTCCGATTAGAGGCCACTGCTTTCTGATTGTTGATTTTATCAAATGCCATGCTGGGCTATATTTTCCAATCAGATTTTTGTTTTGCTATACACATCAAGAAATCTGAAAAAAAAACAGTAAATCGTTAATAAAAAATGTAATTTTAAAATGATTTGTCAAGCCCTCGAGCTTAATTTGCTGAATAACATTTTGTGCTTAGCCTGCAGAGTATTTAATTATTCAGCATGTCTTACTTAGTCTAACTTTCGCTGTTATTTTTCTTGCTGGGGCTTGTTATTGTTTTCCCAGCGATGACTATGTTGTTTACAAATGAACGCAGCTTACGCAGCACGAACAGCAGGACAAGGACTTCTTCCTGCCTGCCTGCCACATGCTGACCACTGCTGTTCGCATAAAAAAAAAATACAAAAAAAAATTAAATAAAAGAAAAAGAAGGAAGATGGGAGGAGGGATTAAAAAAAAAACAGGACATCAGCTTGCTGGTCTCAAGTGTAATGCATTTAGCGCTGGTAAAGAAAATATTCGTTGTCCGATATGGTTTTTTTTTTTCCATAGTCCCCATACTGACTGCTTTCTACCGAATACTTGGCTTATTTTGCGGTCAAATTAATGCAGCTGCAGGCAGGAGGCGGCCAGGATGTCTGGAACTCGTTCACGGTGCATGTATTTTTAATTAATTGCAGCCCCCCATTCCTCAACTGAGTTGCAGGAGTTGAGTTTGCCCGGCCATCGCATGCCATGTCCTTCCCATGTGGTCAGCTCCGCCTCTCGTCCTTCGATCGCCCGTGTCCATGTTACTCCTGCTGCTCCTGTTTCTTAACCCCCCTCATTCCCCCCTTTTAAATGTGTGTCTGTGTGCGGGCACTCCTGATACATTAATAGGTTTATTTCCACATTTTTCGAGTATCCTGCATTGGCATGGCAACCAGAGACGTCGATTTCAATTATGGAAGACGGGAATTAATTATTACTTGAAAGTTAAGTAATTGGTTTCAATAAGTCTATTATATTAGCTTTTGACAGTTTAATTCGATTGGAAAGCAGGCCTATAAGAAGTCTAATTAAAATCCTATTTTAAAAAGAACTTAATAAACAAAATTGAAAAGTCAAATAAATACAAGTACACTAACAACCAAAAAAGTTTTTAAAACGTTGTTGAAGGTGGTTTTTACTCTAATCAATAATTATTTTTAAATTTTTAGCATAAGCAAAAATAATTTTACAAGAGAATAACCAACTTGATTTCAATTTGCTCGTTGAACAAACTTGAATTGAACTCGTTATTACCATCATTTTTTCCTATATGACCGCAAGTCAACGCGTCGCCAGCAGCGCTACATCATTTGCGGTTAATTGTAATTAAAGTTCAGTGGTATGCTCAAATGCACACATGTTTGCCACCATCCTTCCTTCCTTCCCCCCACTGCCGATGAACCTTTCAGCCCGGCCAACACCGCATACCACAGCAAAGGACATCCTGTGCGAGCTCAGCATTCCATGCTCATGATGTCACCATCGCCAGTAAGGCAAACAATTTCAAACAATTCGATACCCAGCACTCACTCACATTGTTGTATAATTTTGGCCAACCAAAATTCCTGTGAAGACAATTGAAAAGGATTGCTAAAGAAATCCTCTTCCAAAAAAAAAAAAAAGAAAAACAATGCCGGAAACGAGAAAGAAGACGCACTGTAGCCCGAGCAGTGGCCTCGACCGAGCGGATGGTGAGGACGTCGTTGCAGTTGCCAATCGTCTGGTTGTTCGCCACCGCAGTCCCGCCCACCGGCGGCCACGCCCCCAACGCCAGCAAGGTCATCGGGATGCCACCGGCTTTACGGCCAACCAAGAGGTGCAGCTGAAGGCCGGCGACATGCGAATGGCCCGAATGCAGATCGGTCTCTCCCAGCTGCGCACCGAAATGGAGGAGTCGAGCAAGCAGGTCAGGGATCTCTGCAAGGCGATGCGGGTCCACATGGAGGCCGAATAAAATATCCTGCACATGTCCTGAAAATCAGAAATAAGAAAATACTCTTTCAACTGCGCAGAAATGCAGTTTATATGGAGTCAAGTTTGCTGCTTATTTATGCATTTTCGTGTTCAATAAATTCTGTGACTTTCTTCTGTTTGTAAGCCGATACCTAACTTGGATGGCAGAAAATAATTTCTTGGTTAAATAAATATATAAATATAAAAACATTTAATTCCATAAAGACATTAATGCCTATTGTTAGGGTTTTTGGGATAAAAGAAAGAAAGAAAGAAAAGTCCATCAAGATGTGTTCTAATGACAATTATTTAATCAGTTTTTTTTAAGAATAAGGGGAATTCAGTTACCCCTTTGAAACTTTTAATAATTTTGGCTTAAACTTCTTTTTATTTAGATATTAATATATTCCCATAAAAATGCGGCTTATTCTATGCTCGAATTGAGATAAACAGTCATATTAAGTCTTGTTTTTTTCTTTTTTCCAGACTGGATGGATCCCATGTCAATTTCATTTATGAGTTTTAGCATCGAAACTACCGAAGCTCATTCAAAGCCCACCAAAAAGCATTCGACTGTTGTTCCACGGAGGCTTAAAACAGAGACAGGTATCTACATATATTTAAATAAGTTGCATTTATATGTTAATAAATGGAAGCCCTGCTTTCTCATAATAACTCGGTCCCAAATCCCTTTTCGCACTTGCGGGCGAAAGGCGTGATGGCTTGATTTAAATTAAAAATTTATTGCATATTTTTTTGCTCCACCCATCATTGCATATTGCCACTGTATGTGTGTGTGGGTTGGGGGAAAAAAATGTGCACGTTTGTATTTAAATTTATATACATATGTGTGTGGATAAATTAAATTTGTGAGCGCCTGTGAACGCGCACAGGGCCAACAACCGGCAACATGCATGAACATGCCATGAACTCGAATTTCCAGCGCCAACGGGTTAAGGATGTCCTGGGCCCCGGGAAAGCCCCCTTGGAAAGATAGGGTGGCCCAAAAGCGAAGGTACACACAAGTACGACGAGCATGGCGAAAGGCAAAGGCGAAAGGAGCCACCGTGGGTGCTCTCCGTTGAGTTAAGGGTCTGGCGGTCTGGCACTTCAGCAACCGTTTTGATTACTCGCATGTTTTCGCGTGCAACTAAATTAGCGCACGTGTAATCAAGTTCTCTTCGTTGCAAAAACAACGAAAAAATATGGAAAATATACATTGAAGCTTGTAGGGAAGCCCCTTCCATCCATCCTACTTTCCATCCCCTTTGCACACAAAATCCCCATCCATTAACCTCTGTCCCCTCGACGACCCACGAGTTCATATTTTTGTGTGACGTTCGTTGTCGGCAGGATGTTTAAACTAAAGTAATTGATGTCCCCCCTGGATGACGTATTTTACGAAAAGTGGAAATTCGGCAATAAATCATTCCAATCATGTTATAAAAAATTCAACAGAATTTCCAGAAAAATTGTGCATTTAGTTTTATTTTTGTTCGTTATGACTAACAGTTCGTTGCTTTTCTTGGTTCCAAGTCTCCATTAGTCAGAATAGTTTTATTTGCATAAGAGGGTAAACATCGTTTTAAAACTCAAAGTTTTCTCAATTCCACAAGTTTATTTGCTGCAGAAAATGCGAGAATAAATGTCAGGCCAGTAGGGACATTAAAAGCAAAAGCTTTTATTATCAAAGTCATTAAAATACTGAAGCGGAAATACTGATCATAAAACCACAATTCATTTTGATGAATCTTTTTTCAAATAAAGCAAAAGAATTTTTATTAATTATTCTCCAAAACACCACGCGAGTCAACCCTTTATTAATTTCTACAACAAATATTATCTCCTTTGTGCGTTACAATACAAATGATAGCATATTTTCGTAGTTGTATAAAACATCTGTTGCATTTTCAATGTTTACTTCAGATAAAACACGGTTAATCAAACAAATAGTTACACAGCAAGATAAAAATAGACTACAGCACCAGGTCCCATAAAAATTAGTTTTGAAGTACCCAATATTTTTTAGATTCATGTTCGCTTTAGCCTTTTAAGTAATTTTAAGTATAATCCATTATTGGAGCACCTTAAATGGATCGGTTGCATACGGCATAATTTTGCCAGTTGCAATGAATCGGGAAATCAATTTTTGATTTGTCAAGTACTCAATAAGCGATCGAAATTTTCCGAGAGGTACAAACGAAGGGAAATCCTGCTCATCCATTGTCATATTGTGCACTTCATAGCTTACGTTCTGTGGATTAGACTAAAATAATTATCACTTATCAAAATTTGTTTAACTTAAACTTACCGCAAGAAATGGACACTTGAATTTCATATTTGCATGCTTTTTTAAACTTTGGCCATAAACATTAAACAGTCGGTTTTTGCTAGCATTTTCCAGAAAATTGCATGCATCGAATTGAACATCATAAAGCTTCATTTTCGTTTTACTGTTCAGCTTCCAGAAATCCAGGACGGCATGAACACTTAAATCGCGAATCGTGTATTTAAAAATATGACTCGAGTCCAAGTAGCTGCGATTGTTTATCTGGTGCAACTCACAACTTAAATTTCTGTACACATTTGTGTCCACATTGCTTATGTTAACTTGTTCAATAACAACCCGAAAATTTCTTTCTTCAGTTCTCATTGGCCTAAAAATGAGAAAGAGCGAGATCCAAAACCAAAACTTCATGACTGTGGGCAAAAGCAAACTGAATTTTCCCAATGATTCAACAGTAATATAAAATAATTTTTTGGGCATTTGAAAGTTGTTTTTCTGTTTTGTTACTTCATGACCCATTAAAATTTATTATTACACTTAGTTTAATTGGTATACACGGGATGTCATTTACATCAGTTAATGTATTTTGTGAAAAATAAAGAACTCTTTAACGGCCAGATCGGCGACGACCAACACGACCATGAATAGTTAATTGCATGGCTTTGCGTTTTTTAACAAAAATAATGCAGTCCGAAACAAAGTCCATCTCTGGCGCATAGCTGGGTATTGCCTTTGAGTTAATTGTGAAGCGATTGATGTAATAAGTTGTATTCTTAAAATAAAAATGATAAAGAGTATAAACTTTTTTTGCTTCGGTTCACTTACCTTTTTAAAGGGGCATTGAAGTGGAAAATTCGCCACTCGCCGCAGCTCATCGGCAATCATCTTTAGCAAAAACTGCGTTTGAAGAGATAATAATGTCTGACAATAATCTAGATCCAATGAAGTGTAGTTGATAAAAGATGATCCTCGTTTTAAAGCAACTACGTATTTGCCTTTAGCGTCAGAAACATCTTCTGTCAATATAAACTGTGCAGAGTATGATGATGACAAAGAACCCTTTAAAGGTGGATTTAAGCAACAGCTAACATTTTTTACAAGGTCCGGTGCATAAGTTGGACACGCAATGTCTGTGAAAAAAGCGTCCATCTTGTTGGGCAGAAAATTCCTTTTTTTTTTTTAAACCATTTCAATTCGTGTGAAACATTACTTACCTTTGCCAAGGCACTATTCAAAAATATTATGGTAACTTCAAGAAGAAGTATTAGAAGTAAAATGTTTTTAGCTCTCATTTTAGTGAGTGAAAAAGTTATGACTTCATCGGGAATGTGAAGCTTTGAATAGTTTTTAGCTTTAGTGAGAATGTAAATATAATTTGAATTTGATTGATTTTAAATTACCCACTAATTATGTTCCAAATGTTTTTATAAGTGAATAATTATTTTTTTATATGGTAAGCTTCGTCCAATTTTTTTAATCGAGTTAAGAAGCGTGCATAATCCGTTTGGTATAATTATACACTTTATATGGTCATCGCCATAAATTCACGTTTTTTTCAAGCATTTATTCCCAAAGAAGGCTCTTAGTTTTAATTGCTTTGAGAATTTATTTTAAATTTCTGTAAGACTTTGCTTGCAAAATGTTCAAATTTTTTAAGGAGTTGATATAACTTTTGCGTAAGATGTGAGACGAACTATAATAAAACTTTGGTTTAAATAAAATTCATTTTGGGCTCGGTATTTTCCAATAGGCACGAACGATGGAAGTTCCTTTTCGTCTAAATAAAGTTTATCCAGAGTGTAATTATAGTGCTAAAAAAAGTTTTTAGGGTTTGAGATACAGTTGTTAATAATATTTGAAAGTGTACTGACCGCTTTAAGGGGACATTTAAAGTTGGAAAATTGTTTTATTCTCTTCGCATATATATTAAAAACCCGGTTTTTGTGCACACTTTCCACGAAAAGGCATCCGTTTAATCGAGCATCGTAGATCTTCATAGGTTGACCATTATTGGGCCTTGTTAAATCCAAGGTAGTACGCACGAACACTTGGGCAACATCAAAATTTAAAAGCACTTGACAATATACATAGCTGCGATTGTTTATTTGTTTGACCTGACAACCAAACTTGTCCACTGTTTCTGTGTCGAAAATCCTAACTCGGATATCTTCGATGATTATTCGATAACTGCGTTGCTCTGCACAAACACATTTCAAAATTAAAAACCAGCAAATCCAAAACCAAGTTTTCATGATGACCGCTAATATTGCAATGGCAAGGTCTGACTTAATGAAGATTGCTTCAACTGGTTGAAAAAGTAATTTTGGGGAAAGGTTTTTTTGTTTTTTGCTAGTTGAATCATTTAACCATTGCATGGATAATAATTTGTCAAATGTTGTAATACACAGAGCAGAAAGATGAAGATTAAGCCTACTAATCTTAAACTTAATTAAAAAAAAAAACCGTACATTTTAAAAAGGTTAATTATCTTTTTATTTTAGAGGCAGACATAAATATTAACATTTTACGGAAGCTGCAATTAATAATGCTGGTTCAATACTCTTGGGGGGGTAAATCATATTACCCCTTCGATCAGATTCAAACTAATTACGACTTATCTCAAATATTTTAAATACAACCACAAGAAAAGGAAATACTTTCGTTTAATTTTATTTCATATTCTTTATTTCACGATAAAGTGATTTTTTCTTTATTTTGTTTATTTTTTTTCTTTATTTTTTGGACAAAATCTCGCCATGTGCAACAATACGTGTTACCAATCGCTCTTGGGTGAAATATTCCGTATTTGTACGAAATTTACCTAAGGGTACATACGGTGGAAAATCCTGCTCATCTAAAAACCAATCTACCAACTTGTACGTAAAGTTCTGGAAAAGTTATTTGTTTAGAAATTTTAAGACCAAATTGAGTGTTACATACCGCTTTAAATGGACACATCAAATTGACATTAGTATGTTTTTTTAAGCTCTTCACGTAGGTGTTTAAAAGTTTGTTTTTGTGAAAAGTTTTCAGCAAGGCACATGCATCCACACGAATATCGTACAATCTCATTTTTTTCTGAGTGTTTGGCTTCCAAAAATCCATAACAGCACGAACACCTACGTCTGCAACATTTCGATTAAGCCTCATTTCGATGTTAACGTAACTCCGATTATTTAATTGATCCAGATGACATTCCGGGACCTTTTCAAAAATGTCCGTCACCCTATATGTAACCGCAAAATCAGCGAAGTAAAATCGGAAGTTGCGCTCATCACTAGAGGCCAAGTTTAGAAGGACGAATAGTCCACAGATAAAATACGCAGCTTTCATGGTCAAAGTTTATACTATAATGCTATGGGATTTTCAACAGAATCCATTTGCTTATTGGAGCACAATCATTTATCTATTTAAGTAGTTATTCAATTTAAGATGGTTGAGTTCGATAAAATTCCAATTACAATAAAATAGTTGGCCAATTTTGTGATTTTATTAATGATTTCTGTATTATCGTGTTCATAAAACCAAAGAAATATATTTTTGGGGTCCTTCACATTAATAGTTAAAACAATTCAGTGCAGGTTAGCTTACTGGAATTTTTTAAATACAACAACACAATAGCAGTTGTTGAAAAAAGTAAAATATTCTAATGAAAATTTGAAAAATAATGGAGTTCTTCATTGAGTAGAAATAATTTTACTTAAAGATGAAAGCTTTTATTAATTTTTGGTTATTGCAAAATAAGCCATTATATGTACATATAAAATAAATGCCCTTGGGGTGTAAAATCATATTTCCGTTCGGTTCAGGATTTTATAAAATAAAGAGTTACACCAGCAAATATAAGTGGTCTGGTCAAAGTTTAACTAATTATGGCTTATCTCAAAATAAAAAAAAATCGAAACACTGTTTTTTTGCTAGAAAACTTTTATTTTCGGTTTTATTTCTCTTAATGTATGAATTTGTATTTTTGTGTAACATCATCAATATTTATTTATTGCAATTTTATTGCTTGGGCAAAACTTCGCCATGAACTACAAGACGTCCTATTAACCTTTCTTGGCTAAAATATTCGGTAATTGACCGGAATTTGCCTAAAAACAGCATCGGTGGTAGATCCTGCTCATTTACATACCAATCTACCATCTTATAGGTAAAATTCTAAAAACAAATGATTGGTTAGGAATATTTAGATGTCAAAAAATGTACCTTACCGCTTTAAATGGACACAGCAAAATAACATTAGCATGCATTTTAAAACTCTTCACATAGGAATTTAAAAGTTTGTTTTTGTGAAAAGATCGAAGCATGTTGCATACATTCACACGAGCTTCGTACATCCTTATTTTTTTCTGAAATTTTGGCTTCCAAAAATCCATAACGGAACGGACATCTACGTCTTCAACATTCCTCCTAAGCACCATCTCCGTGTTGACGTAACTCCGATTATTTAATTGAACCAGATTACATTCAGCCTTTTCGATAATATCTGGCACCGTATACTTAATCGCAAACTCATCAATGTAAACGCGGAAGTTGCGTTCATCACAAATGGCCAAGTCTATAAGGACGTATAGTCCACAGATCAAATACGAAGCTTTCATTGTTGATGGCTTTGCTCTAATGCAACTGGATTCCCAACAGAAACCACTTGCTTTTAAGCCTCAAACGTATATCTATAACGTATTCATTCAATTAAAGATGGCTGGGTTTGATATTACTTTAATTGTAATGAACCAATCTAGCCACTTTTGTTATTAAATAATTATTTCTGGCAGGAATATGTATTATTTATAAATTTTTGTACAAAATTGTTTGTTGTATGGCACAGAAAAATTGGAAGCAGGTTAGGACTACTGACCTTCTAATTTAAATAAAAAATCAATAAAAATGTAAGAATAATATTTAATTCCAAGAGCTTAACAAATTATTTTTTTTTAATAAAGAGTCACAACGAGCTGTTGATATTATTGGTGTGATTAAAGATTTTTTATTTAAACATGACCAATTAAGGCTTATCTTAAGTATTCAAAAAAATAATCAAAACCCAGCGAAACGCTTTCTTTGCTTAGGAACTTTTTATTTTAGTTTGTTTCTTTAATTTTAAGAATTTGTTTTTTAGCTTGATTAAACTTTTTGAAGTATCATTGCGTGGGCAAAACTTCGCCATGAACTACAACACGTGCTATATATCGTCCTAAGGTAAAGTATTCGGTAATTGTACGGAATTTACCTAAGAACAAAAAGGGTGGAAGATCCTGCTCATCTACAAACCAATTCGACCATTTGTAGGTAAAGTTCTAAAATGAATTTGTTTGTTACAATTATTTTGATTTAGGTAAATATACCATACCGCTTTAAATGGACAAAGCAAAATAATATTTGCATGCTTTTTGAAGCTCTTCATATAGGAATTTAAAAGTTTGTTTTTGTGAAAAGTTTGCAGCAAGGCACATGCATCCAAACGAATATCATAAAACCTTATTTTTTTCGGATTATTTGGTTTCCAAAAATCCATAATAGCACGAACTTTAACGTCTGCAAGATCCCTTTTAAGTACCATCTCGATGTTGGCGTAACTCCGATTATTTAATTGAACTACATACGAATCCACCTTTTCGAAAATGTCTGGCACCTTATACTTTATCACAAAATCATCGAAATAAATCCGGAAGTTGCGCTCATCAGTAGCGGCCAGGTTTATAAGGACGTAAAGTCCACAGATCAAATACGAAGCTTTCATGGTTAATGGTTTTACTATAATGCTACTGGATTCCAAACAGAATTCACATACTTTTGAACCAAAACCATATATATACCCATTATGTATTCAATTGAAGATGGTTCGGTTTGATAATATTTTTATTATAATGAGCCTAGCTACTTTTGTATTTATTGTACTTTATAAATTACTGGTACGAATATTACTGAATAATTATGTGTATTCAACCCAAAATCAATTATAAAAATAGTTCATATTATTAAATTTTGTATAAATTCAAATATGTACTCATAATATTATTTTTTAAAATAATATAATTATATAAATTAATGGATGACTGTTTATATCAGCTTTTAAGTTTATTTAAACATTGAGATAACATGTATGACATTTTAATGCTTGATAAGAACACGTCCATCAATTTGCATGTGACCCAAAAGTTTTGACTGCTGCTGAAAGGACATTTTTACGCGGTATGTACATTCGGGAAGCAGTTCTGGAAGCAATTCTTCGTCCATATAAGCTCTTGTCAATGTGTAGTTGAAATTCTATAAAGGAAACAAATACTTACACTATAGTTATTTATGGAACTTTAAATTTTCATCATACACTATCATCAATACCATTATTATCAAAACTTCGAGTTTTTAATAATGCTTCAAAGTCAATAGAACATGTCGTTTACTTTGTTTGGGGCTTATTAAAACTCACCGGCTTTAGGGGACACTTTGGCTTGGCATTTAGAAAATTTGCATAGCTATTGTAGAAAATTCGAATAAACTTGTTTTTATAACCATTATTGAGGACCGAGCATAAGTTCAATTTCACACTATAGAGGCGCAATTCGATACTCGGAGGACGCATTATATCCATGGACGAGACAAGTGTTAGTTCATTGATCACCCTATTAAAGATTAGGTGTCCTGAGAAATAACTGCGATTAGACTCCTTCTCGAGGAAAGCGCTTTGGGATGCAAAGAGACCGGGATCATCGACAGTAAAGGTGAACCGATCCACCAACACCACATGGCCGCACAAATAGCAGTTGATCAGCGAACTGAAAACGAGAAGTCTGAGCTTGTGGAAAGACATTCGGAAGACGGTCGACTTGGCCACTGGATTACGGACTGACTACGAACCAACTACTAATGGCCGATTCCATTGTGCTGGTAATTATGAGCTGACGGAGCGAGCCCTAATGGCTTTTTAAATGGTGTCGTCTGGTCTAAATTGCCGCCATCTCTCAATATGTCAACAATACGTATTCATATACACATAAATATTTTTTTTCGCTTCTTTTTTTTTGGGTCTTTGAGTCGCTTTCTGAAATGCAAAAAAAAAAGTGTATACTTGCGCACAAAAGTAAAATGAAAATGTTTCACGTATGGAAAGATTGAGTTGAGAAGGCGGCTAAGTACATAAAAAGAGTAAAAAAAGAAAGAAATCCGAAAAAAGGGAAAAAGAAAGCGAAACCTTATTTTCTCGGCTACAATGTTACTCAGTATCAAATCAGACATTAAACCTACTAAGTAACATTTTACACAATTTACACAATAGGAATATGTGAACAGAAAAATATAGTTGCTGTTTCCTTAATTTAAAAACAATTATAATTTAAATAAGTGTGATAAGATTCCTAACGAATGTTTGCGAATTGTTGCTATGGGATAATCTGTTTGTCATTTGCAAATTGGAAAATAATTGTTAAAAAAATTATTTTTCAGTTGGTTTGTAATTTGGTTTAAAATTAACATGGCCCCAATAAATAAATAATTGAACTTGATTTTCTAATGACAAAAGTCTAGAACAAGTTTAGCAACTATTCAAACTATTCCTCATGATACTTGACTATATGTAGTCCAATCTTTGGAGGGCCAGTAAATGTTTATAACTAGATGTTGGCATGTCGAGTACACCTCGTTTTATATCTCGTCGTCGTGTTTTGGCGACCCCAAGGATGTCAACAGAAATGTTAATAACACCAGCGCTACCGTCGGCACAGTCGCCTCGCCCACAACTTGCAGCTGAGAAGGATCCGAGGATGGGGGATGGCAACAAGGATGCAGATGGGCTGCCAGCCGAGCCAAAAACAGTGGCCATAAAACAGAGGAGCAAGGAGTGAAGCAAGGAGTGGAGTGGAGTAGAGTGGAGTAGAGTTGAGTTAAGCAAAGTAATGTAAGGACGAGCCAGCCAACGAAGGCAACGAAGGCAACGCAGGCGGCCCAGTCGAGTGTAGTTCAAACATCACACCTACCGTCTGGGATCTGGAGAGTCTCGACTCGTCTGCGAATACGGCGCTGTGGTCCGTATTATGTAAACATTTGCCGGGCTTCAATCTTTATTTTTCCTGCGTTACCTCCTGTGCAGCACACAGCTCGCTTCCATGGCTCCTTGTCGAGTGCGTGTGGGTGTTTGGTTTTCGCCAGCTTTGTAGATTCCCCCGCTCAGGGCTCTCAATCGAAAGCGCCTGCAAGCTTTTGCATGACACAACAGAAAGACGTACCTTTCTTTTAACTAACGAAACGTATTTTTGGATCACCTAGTTTGGTAGCTTGTTACACCCAAAGAAAATGCCACACTCTTATTTCAAATCAAGAACTATCTAAACTAAGTTCAGTTTCATGATAATATTCTTTGCACTTTCTATTTTTGAGTGACGCAAACAATTCACATATCTAAAACTTGTACGGTTTGGTAATCAACGGAATTTATATCTGTTTTTTTTTTTAAGTAAGTCAGTAAACTTAGTATCAAACACATGCTTCATTATAAATTAAGACCCAGTCATTCTTACCTAACTACCATGTAATTTGAGTGTCCATTCGCTGCTACATTTCACTTAAAATGACAAATCAATAGCTTTCTGATTGAATATGCGTGCCGAGCTGCATGATTTCCACGACCTGTTATTTTTCTGGCAAAGAAAACAAACTAATTTTCCCATTTTCATATACCAATTTCCCTAAGTGACCAATTTGTCCCAGGGCAATTAACACAGGCCATCGGTGCTCATGGGACCGGGGAAAAAGACTTCTATTGGCCAACGTGTACTTGGCAACAAACTAAAAAGATTGTTGCGTTGCATTTTAAATATCGAGGTGTATATATTATGCAAATTTGTGCAATTTTCATTCATGCCTCCATATACTATATATATATATATATATATATGTAGATGATAGGACGAGTAGCAAACCGAGTTCTGCCGAGCCACTGCGGCCGGGGCCTTAATTAGTCTTTGTGAGCGTGTGAGGCTCATTTCATATGCAAATTGCAGTCGATTGGTTTCGCATTACATAATTAATAATTCAACGAGAATGCTTGTCAATCACACGCACGAATACGCCCAACAAGGAGCCCACTCAAAGGACGAGCTAACGGGAAACTCGGGTAAAGATCCTGCGGTTTCTGCAACTTGCGGTCTGTGAGGAATATTATTAGTTTAGCAACTTGTGTATAGTATGTGAATATTTGCAGGAAAGTATGTGCAAAACTAGGGCTCTATGAATTATTGCTGAGATCCTGCGAAAATGTATTTACATTTTCACATTTGAATAAATGTTTTAAAAATGAGTTGACTTTTCGTTTACCCACTTGAGTGCCTGTTGTTGTGGTCCAAAAATATTTAGCATCACGCAGGGCGAAATTAAATATAACCAGCACACCTAAAAGTGCTAAATTGGAAATAGAATCTGCTACTTATGTGGGTTCCATAGAAGCCTGTAATGATTCGTGTGCCTCGGTGTTTATATCAATATCTGCTTCGTTGCCGATGGTCGGGCCTATTTGTGAAATCAATAAATTTTACAGCCGAATGCACAGGTGCTGGCATCAACAATTTACAGATCTAGTGGGCGCCTGCAGTTGCCACCAAATGGCAGTGTCGGCCAAGAAGAAGTAATTCCGTTGTTCGTAACGAAATTTATTAACATTTTCCGATAATTTTCCGGCTATTAAACTGTTTTCCGTTTGAAAGACCAACGTTTAAGTTCTCTTCTGTGATACTTTTATTTTAATGTATGGCATTTTGGTTGTTTTTGGGTATTTATTAGCCAACTATGGGTACAACAAGTACTACAGATGCTTTGCATCAGCACATCGCTTACCGCACCCCGTTGGCGAAAATCCCCCGTGTCTGCAAACACTCGTTAAAAATCACTTAAAATTCCATCATCATAAATTTGTCAAAAAAATTCACTCACTTGCTCCAAGCGAAGCTTTAACGTGTCGACATTGATGCCGTCTTTTGTCTACTATCACACTCCCCTCCTCCGATGGGATTAGCTTTCCAGCAACCACAATGGTCTTCATTTCCCATGCACAAATGTCCCTTGTGATTCTGCGGAAATCATTGTTATAAAATTGTCTGCCAAGGTCGTACGAAAGTTAAGTATTCAGCGCAACTTAAGATCTGATTTTGAAGTTTTTACATAAAGCTGCATGCCATTTAAACTTTACGTAAACGCTTTTAACGATACAAGTCACGGGATGTTCTTTGTCATAGTTTGTTAGTTAAGAATTCTTCATTATTATTTTAACACTTTTGTATCTGTACACAACATTTCTATTCAAAAATAAAAACAAAAAATAATAAACATATAAAAGAGATTGCCTTTTGTATGATAAAACCCAAAGGCAATCATTAAAATCAAATATTTATTTTAAATTAAGATTATTTCATCTTCAATTATCCCCTATCTGACCTTTTGCCCTCGGTGTATTCTGTTTTGGAAAAAAAATTATGTACTGGCGCTGCCAACGCTGAAAAACTTCTTCAAGACAAATGAGCTTTCCTTTAAGACCGTTCGCCGTCTAAGTTTTCTTATGACAACCTTTAGTTTATTACTTTTGGTTTATGTTTTCGTCAGTTGGCCGAATGTTTTATTTTAGCGGCCGTCGCAACAGCAGGGGGCAAGTTCCACCGAGAACCGCCAGAGTTTCATCCCGTCTCGGGCCCCAAAGTTAACAGCTTTTTGTGGCAAGGTCTTTTTGGCTAGGGCTCCATGGTGACTTCAATTTTTGGCAACAAAACGCAACGAAAAGTTGCTGCAACGGCAAAAACGAGAAGAAGAGCTACGGCGGAAGAGGAGAATAAAGTGAGGGGTTAAAAAAAAAAAAAGGAAGAAAAACTCACCCAAGGCAAAAAAGCAATAACAAAATATTATTATCAGAATCATTCATCATGTGGCTGCAGGCAATAAATTTTGGGCTTGCTCCCAAATGCAACAACAACCATAAAAATGGCAGCGTAAAGGAAGAACTACAATTATTGTAGCAGTTGTATAGAGCAGTAGGTACTGGCGGCTTTTGGCTAACTGTTAATAAATCGCAGTGCCAGATATCAGCGAACAGTTAGCTCAGTTAGCTGTGGGCCAAAACAGCAGCTGGTGATGTGGCGCCGCCCCCCGAGGTACCACCCCTTTTCCCCCCCCCCTTGCCCCTTGCCGCCCATCAGCAGACGCATAAAAGTTCGGGGGCTTTACCCCCGAAACGAACTTTAACTTTAAGCGAGGCGTGGCTGGGGCTATAAAGCATTAACATAAAACTCAGAAAATACAAAAGACTGAGGGGGAAAAAGAACCCAAATGAAAATAGTTACTGCTGAGAATTTCCTCCGCTTTAGTAGCAGAATGTAGTCAGCTGCTCATCCAAGCTGTAAATTTGCGCATTACTGGAGCGGTCTCATCTATTTCGTATTTCAACTTTTCATCTTTGACTCAGCAAAATTGAATTTATATACATAGCTCATGCTCTGATGATTAATAACCTAAAAAAATTATATATTTTTGTTTTATATACACATTTATATTTAATTTGTGTGCTTAATATATGGAAAAATGTGTACCTGCCTAAAGGTAATACGAAAATACGATAAGATTGTTTAAGCAGGCTGGCGTAAAAATTTCAATAATAAAATCTTTGTGCAGATAAAATATTTGAAATCGCTTACTGCAAATATCTTTACCAAGAAATGGTTAAATAAGGTAATACATAATATACATATTTCACTCGCTCGAAGCTCTGCTTTCTTATTTATTATATGTCCATAAATAAATGATATCACCGCTGGGGGAATGCCTCAGTTAAAACTATACAAATGCAAATATAACAGTAGCAGAGCTTGAAGATA